TCATTTTAGTGAAAGTTTCATGTTCCTATCTCATAGAATTTAAGAACAATGATGAATAAATCATTTTCGAGCAAAATTTAAATGGCCGGCTGAATATATTACCGCAGGAGCCGCGGCCGCGGAATTTAAATGACCACGTCAAAGGGTTAATTAATTAAGCACAGGGACAACTTTACCTTCTACCTCATAGCTTATTATTTACTGAACTTTTTGTATTGTACTGTCATATGAATTATTTGCTATAGAGTTAATAGTTTAATATAATCTATTGGAAAACTGTAGTAGATAACAGAAAATATGTTGCAGGTAGAGTATGCTGAGACCTCGTTTTGAGCAATTATGATGTGGAAATTATTTGAAACATTGTTCAAAGAAAACTGTGTTCAGAAAGTAAGGAAAAGTGAGATCAAATATATATCATGTGTCCAGGCTCTAATGTTTTCAGTATTGTTTCTGCAAGTAATATTTTTTCACAAGAGTGAGTGAAGGAAATCAGAACTTTGTAGGAAAAGAGATACAGCGTATAGGAAAGTCCCTCACAATGTTACAGTGTGACTCTGCTGAAAGGGATATGGGCACTCATTTAATGGGTGTGCTGCAACTGATAGGCCTTTAGGTGATTTCATTTTTGAAGGGGCCAAATGAATGTAACTGTTAGTGATTTCCATAATTCGTCTGTATGTGTTGGGGAAGGGGGGATGGAACTGCGACTGCACTGCCTCTCAGTTCCCTTCCATTCGGCATTCTTATTCATGCCTCTATTTCTAACTTGAGGCTACATAACCTTAACCGTTGATAGAACTTCACTAAATAACATATAGAATCAATTGGTCAGTACTACAGGAAGCATGAAATTTGCATAAGATAACATTTTGAAGTGTCGAATATATATTTTAGTAATGTGGATTTTTAAACTCATTACGTTAATCATAAGCCTGCTGCATCCCTTTGCTTAACACACTTCAATCATCTTCTTTATGAGGAGCTTAAGTTTGTATGGTATTTAAACTATCATTAAGTCTAGCAGGTGCTTTATGGTATGCATCCTGTTGTGTATTATATCTGTTTGTAACTAGCAGGCGCTGCGTTTTTAAGTATATCAGTACTGCATGAAACTTAGGGATAATTATATGAGATGCTGCATGTTAATAAACTAGAACTACATGCAAAAGAATGATAAAGTTGTCTTTACAAAACAAAAAACAACAAACTCCATGGCTTTATTTCACAAGCGAACTATACCGACTTAATGACTGCCACTTGTTGGTGAAGTTAGTGCCCCTTTTGCGGATAGAGGCTGTCACGTGGTCAGCACAGCAAATCCCCATGGCCGTTAATTTCAGTTTTGTGGACCAGAGCTGCTACTTTTCAATTCAAGTAGCTCCTCACTTATCCTCACAAGGCTGAGTGGACATACCCCGTTCCGGACCCAATACTTTGAAAATTTGGTAGTGCCGGGAATCAAACCTGGGAACTCTGACCACTAGACCACAGAGGCAGTCTAAAGTTGCATTGTGATTAACTAATCAAGCACTGTACCATGAAGATGAATGGGAGAGTGGATGTATAGATCCACTTTTCTTTGACCTCGGGACCAGTTGGAGGTGAGTGGTCAGCTTCACGCCCCGGCCGCTTTACCACCGGGAAAAGAGTCCCCCCGTATCCATTACATAGGGGGGCTGGGTGGGCCCCAGAGCCAGTTTGGACAACGTGGAAAAGAGAAATTTTGTGACCCTACCAGGACTTGAACTCTGACCCCTTTGTCATCCAGCCCATGAGCAGACACTGTACCATGTATGTTTACTTGGCCCCTTAGAACTATATATATACAGAGAGTTTTTCAACTGTGTTGACTGGTTCATGGCTCTGCACTTTACAGTGGTTGGTGCGCTTCTTGCTGGGAGGTGCATGTGAATTTTGCCACTGAATCAGTGTGCCTGATGGCTGATAATGTTTGGAGTGAATGGAAGTAATTAACTCGTGGACTGCTTGCAGGTGTTATGTTTCACGGTGAACAGTGTGGTTCATGTGTGGAAGTTCATTTATGATTTGTCAGCAGTAGGCAGCAGTTATCAGCTCCATTAACCAGTTGTACTCAGTTACAGTTAGTGAGCAGTGCAGTATGTCATGGTGTGGTATGCTTTAGAGCAACATGTACTTCTGTATGACACCTAGAAAGTTCCAGCAAAAATTTTGACGTAAATTTCATGATGAAAGAGTTCCCAGCAGACAAATAAATCACAGTTTGGTGAATACACTTAGAACAACTGGACTCTTAACAGACAAGAAATAAAGACATAAGTGGTGAGTGCATACTGAGGAGAAGTTTGATGACACAGCAGCCAGACTTGCACATACACCTAGAAAATCACTGAAATGTCTGGCTGAAGAGACTGGAATGTCAAATTCTAGTGCCAGAATGGCAACACGATTGCTTTAGCTTAGACCCTATAAAACACAAGTAATCCATGCATTCCAGCTGCATGATCTAGCTAGCAGTGTTCATTTTTCAGTTGGTTTCTACAGTCTGTTATCGAAGGTGAGATCAGTCTGCAATTAATGTTCTTTTCTGATGAAGCGTGGTTTCACTTGCAGGGATACATACATAGGTGAGTCAAATGAAAACCATAAAACTGAGATAAAAATTTGAAATGTCATGCCATTGTCCTATAAGTTGGCAGACATGTTACCAATGCTATAAAGAGTATCCTATAGGTGGCAGTATAATGCAGCCAAACAGAACACCATCAAAGTGCCGGTTTGAAAATGACTGCTCCACTACGTACATGCACGAAAGAAGAACAACGTTCTATAATTCGTTTTTTGATCAGTGAAGGTGTGAAAGTTCATCGACGGATGAAGGTTCAGTATGGTGATGCATGCTTGTCACAGCATCAAGTGTACTAGTGGAGTAGGAAATTCAGAAATGGTGTGACGTTTGTGGCAGATGCTCCTCGCCTGGGTCAGGTGCACAGAATTACGACCCTGGGTGCCACAGCAGCTGACTCCAGAATTGAAACAACGACGTGTTGTCGCTGTGAAGAATCTATGGCACCTTGAAGCAGAAGGTGATGGCTTCCTTTTGAGAATCGTTACTGGCACTGAAACTTGGGTGCACTGCCACCAACTGGAAACTAAGAGAACGAGCAAGGAATGGCGTCATTCCTCATCACTAGGGCTCAGATTTCTATGACATGTCATATTTTTATCCTGACATCTTTTCACATGTATAATTAAATATAAACACATTTCTGACTCTTGTGAACATGAAAATACGGTTTTTATTGGTCATATAAATGCATATTTGAACCATATTTTAGCTTTAGGTCATATTTGAGCCCGAAGTGGTATAAAATCATATTTTTGGTCATATTTTAGGCGAATTTCACTTATTGCTCAGAAATATTGCAAGTATTGGCAACGATGTTATTTGGAACTTCATTTCTTAGAAATATTTGGCCTTGTGTAACGGGATTTGAAGGAATACTGTACAGTGTGAAGGGTAACGGTTCTTGACCTGGCGTAGAATCAACCACTTTGAAAAGAGAAATTGCCACCTTTGCCTCTGTCTGTCTGTCTGTGTCTCTTTTTCTCCTCCACTGCCGTGATACCTGAAGTCCAGTTTGTTTCTTGCATATTGGTGAAAATTTTTTCCATCCACAAACCGGTAAATTTCTACCCTCTCCCCAAAACCTGTCCAATACAGTACTGTATTCATAACTTCAGTTGTTCAGTATAGTTTCAAGATGCCTAAAGTCAAGTGCTCTAATA